AACCGGCACTTCAGGTAGACCACAAGCTATGGACGACTGGACAAGCCAGCATCTTTGGGTTGTACCCAAAGTGAGAGTACCCAGTGACATTCCCTCCATTCAGGGTGGTGGGGTGTTCAGCTCTGCTAGTGTTGATTAAGTTCATAGATCTTTCACCTGCCTGTAGCTTGTGGTTGTGACTGAGTCCTACCTGTTGTGTACGACTGACATTTTGTGAGGCATATCCTCGACTTTGGAAGTAGCCTCGTCCTGGGAGGTGAAATAACTAGCCCCCAGAGGGGAGGTAAATGCTCCGTGTTGGTATCGGCATTTTCAAGTAGGCCACAGACATGGACGACTGGGCATTGGGTCCCAGTGACATTCCTTTATCCAGGATGGAGGGGTGTTTAGCTCTAGGAGAGATGGAAGTGCATCATAATCTCTAACCTACCTGTGTCTGTGGTTCTTTGGGCTTCGGCCTGCTTGTTGTGTGCGACCAGCATTCAGTGGGCAAATCCTCGACTTTGGAAGTAACCTTTCCTGGAGGTGAAAACGGGCAAGTACCCGTAGCTCACGGGGACACTCAAGGGCAACGTAACTTTCCGCAGTGTGAGGGCAACGGTTTGTAGGCACTTATGCAAACCAATCCCTGTCTCTGAGTACGGACGGTATGGTTATCTTGAGTGTGGGGGGTTCTTCCCGGAACCTCAATTGAGTCAAGGGTGTCGCCACCTCTGGTGGATAGGTTCATCCGGGTGGGTCCCACTTCTATACCTGCCTCCTTTTGGGAAACCCTGATGGCCTGGCAGTGATGTTGGGTCTGACGGGCAAACGAAGAGTAGATCGGGTGCTGGGTCCGAGCCCGCCAGGGGTATCTGGGGATCTATCGCTCTGGTTATCTCTGGTTTCCCAGCAATGGGTAAGGCCTCGATCGGGTAGTGGTGTAAATGGGAGGTTGGGGTTCCCCCCGTCAGCGTGCTGACGGTCCCCTTCCTCCTGGCTATTGATGGCGGGTTCTACCTGTCAGGGATTAGATAGGTCCCGAGTGTTGCTTGCACTAAATGCGTCGGGGCGCTCTACCATGGACCTCTAGGTCCTGACCTAGTGGAACCCAGGTGGAGTGACGCTTAAACAAGCAGCCGGAATCCCTGGTTAGGATTGAGGGGCAACCCTCCTTCCGAAGGGTCTGCTTCGGCAGCCGGCGAGCCTGATGACCTTAAGTCATCCGCCCATGATGTGCTAAAGGTTGATGCGTAAGCTTCGGCCTACATCATGGGGCCCGGGTATGTCCTAAAGGATAGGTACCGGGTATGCAGTCAGGGGGCTTCGGCTCTCATGACAAATAATGTAATGTAATGTAATGTAATGTCCATCCACCCGAACCATTAAAAATTGAGCTTTAATGTTGATGAAAAGCAGTGGCGGCATTGGCGGGCTCACAGGGCCCGCGAGCTGGAGGGGCCCGCGAGCCTTGAACGAGATTTTTGAAACATATAAGGGTGTTTGGTAGAAAATTTTCATGTCTAATTTTTTGTTATTTGTCAGTTGTACTAGAAATTAGAGATACAAATATATAAGAAAAATTTTTATTTTGAATATCAAGCGAGATATGGAGCTTGAAAGTAGTAAATTTTTCATCTTTGGTACCAATTCACAGGGAGAATGGTTAATGCGATTCCCGCCAAAATTGGCATTCAGGTGTGGAAAAATAAGATAATAATCATAATAGCTATTATAATAGATAATAATAGCTATTTAAAATTAAAATTTTTTAAATTTTTGAAAACTTTGTTACTGATTTTTACTGTTTTACTCAAAACTCAAACTCGAAAATGTTGACGAAAACAATATCCATATACTATGGTACAGGGGAGAAAGTAAAAATTGTCTGCAGTCATGCGGGTTGCATCATCTCTTCTCTGGCCTGCATAAGGGCGCTATGATGGGCCGTTTTTAGAATCGATATGGCCACCATCGGGTCACAACAGGAGAGGCCCCTCTATTCTGTTACAGCTAAATGAACTCGGCCATTTGTTAACGATTAAATTGACGAATAAACCTAGTAGGCTAGGACACTAACTAATTCCATTCTTTCATTATTAATATAGGGGGCTGCAAGCAGATTTGTTTATCTCTTGAGTTACGGTACGTAAAAAATGTTACCTTCGGGTTATGGACAAAATCAGATCGGTTCGAAACCGGTTCGCTTTTTTTAGGTATGATTTTCAATATAGAATACTGTAACTATTTTCAAGCCGAGCAGAGCCTGGCCTAGTAGCTTAAAAGATCTAGCACAAAATCAGAAAGTTGGGCTCGAGTCGAGCTTTTACCGGTACTTCGATGAAATCGCGAGTCGCGACCCCAGAAGGCGTCTGCGAGGATTACGACCACGCGCGCAATTTAAAAGATTCACGCTTTTGCCGCGATCGCAGGTGTCGACGACAATATTTTCCCAGAGGTGACAATGACGATTTCTCCGTTGCCGCGGGAGGCGTTCAGGATTTTGCTGCTGGCCGGTAAAAAAGCTGGTACCGGTACCTACGTATATTTTGGTGACGGTAGATGTTCTAACACTACATTTATATTCTACAAGTCGGAGATTACAAAGATTGCTTTAAAAATAATTTGAACATCCTAGTATTTTACTATGTATATTTAATTAATCTGTCATCCTCTTACAGAAGAATTGAACCATAGACTAACCAACGTATGTTTTATCTATGATTGAACGTATCAATGATTAGCATTACACATAGTATGAATAAGTCAACCCTAAGGGTATGTCTTTACATTTTTATCCAAATGCTGAATTTGTGACACAAAAGCTGGATGTTTACAGCTGTTATGTTAAGCAAATTATTTTATGCCAAAAGCTATTTTAGAATCTTAGCTTCGACTGCTAGACTTTTTAGAAATTAAAACTTAGTTTCTAAAAAACTGGGACCCTGAACTAAAATTATGGCTTCGACATTCCCTAGTTCTCAAAATTATCTTTCTTTCAACACAAAAATCATGAAAATCCGTCTAGTGGTTGATTCAGAATCGTGAAATAAAAAACACTGTTTCGTTTTAATATTATAGATAGATTTTCGTTCAACGCTTGTTTTGAACATAACCTAAAGTGTAGGATTTGAAAGATAAGAAGAGAGAATAATTAGCTCTGTGATTGTGAATATATTTTTACGCCAGAAGAAATATGTAGCAGAAACTGCAAAACGTGTTTCATTAAACCTGTTTCCTGGAAAATCAAGAAAGAAGTATGAAAGAGCATACGAACTTTTTTTCTTCTTGGTGCGTAAGTAAGAAAGTTGAAATAGTATATTTCGTACCTAAGGCCGAAAATGAGGTTTTGCCGGCTCGAGATAGTTTTTAAGTTCGAGACGAAGTCGAGAACTTAAATCGATCGAGAGCTGCAAAACCATTTCGGCCCGTAGTACGAACGCTATTTCTCACCACACTATACCATATTACCACTATTCACCACTATAATAATGCACACTGATAGTCAACACAACTACAACTTTAAGGTTATGTAAAGAAATAATTTGAGGAATCAGCAAAAATAAAAATAAATAGTTGCTAGGCAACGGCGACAATAACACAATGCTATTGCAATGCTATGGATTTTGATTGTGTATTTAAAATGCATTCATGTTTTAAGTAAGTAAGCGGACAGCTGATTTTGCGGCCCCGGCCTGTAAAAACCTGCTCGGTCCCCAAATTTCGATGACAGCAAGGCCCCACTAGAAATGACAGCCGGCATGGCCAGCAAAACGTAACTTTCAGCCACCAATTAACGTATGTAATACAGCCAAAAACATCATAGTGTGGTGAAAAATTAGGCCTACTTATTTATTCTATTTATTTATACTGATTATATTGCTGTTGTAGTCTTGAAAATAAGTATCACTTAAAGATATTTCAACTACAATCAGCTGGTACAGTGTTTCCCATTCCGTTCAACCATAGACTAAGCAACACAAGGGAGTATGTTTTATCTATGGTTCAACGCTTGGGTTTAACCACGATTACTAGAAAAATACTAGAAAATATAGTAGGCCTAAATAAAATAAAATATAGAAAATACTAGAAAAGATACTAGAAAATGGGTTTAACCTATCCTAAAATCGTGCTGTATAGTTTTTGAAAAACTAACTATTTATATGCTTTATAGTGACTGTAGGAAAAATATAATGTGCAACTCGAGTGCAAAGTGCAATTGCTCACTTTGCTCACTAGTTGTACAAATAACTATTGCTCACTAGTTACACAAATAAATATTTTTCAATTCACGTGCTGCCCCGCAGCGTTGAAATAAATATTATCTGTTTATATCATCTTCCTTTACAATACTTCTTTCCAGATAACGTACATTTACGTTAGTTCAAGGTCGATAACTCGTCTTGGAATTAACCAATTCAAACAATCATATCGAATGAAAGCCTTTATTTCTGTGAGTATTTTAAGCCCAAAACATATATATTGACTAAAATAAAATGGAGTTATTTACCATCGATTGCAGAACTACAAACTAGACATACCAGTCTGTCTACGTAGACATTTGGATGACGACGATGTAAAATATTTAACATATTAAATACAAACCTAGTGTATGGAAAGCTATTTAGTAACAACTATAACACAAGTTTAATGATATGATCTAAAACGACATTACATTAAATCTAAAACTATACAACTTTACCAATTGTGTTAACATGTAAAAATAATTAATTACAAATTTAGTTTTATTTACAAAGAAAGCTTCTACAGTTATACTACAAAGTCAATATGTAGATATTTGTTTCCCTATGAACTTTACCAAACGTTTATTAAGAAAGAAAAAAGTTAATTTATTTTGATTTATTATCCTTCCTAATTGGTTTATTTGGGATTTTTGCTATACGTTGATAAATTCAGATTTCATTTGGAATGTTAACCATTGAAATAAATAATTGTGATTCTATTGACTAAAACTGATCTATTGTGAGGGGTTTCTCACATTTACACTTCTAGATACATACCATCTGTCGGGGCCGCTTCGGTTTTGACCTCTTCAGTTTCTTCGGATTGCTTTAGTTTGCTCTCGAAGATGTCAGCCTCAGGGTTTAAACTTGCGGGGGTCGGACTAGTGTTCACCTATACACAGAATAGTGTCCCAAATTTTATAAAGTTCAAACAAATGTTAAATAGAAATGAGTGATCAGCCACACAATTCAGAGGAACAATTGTTCCTAATATATCCTACAAACGTTCCTTGAAAAGATAGTGCTGGTAAAAATGTCTTCCTTCAAGTGAAGGAAGACTTTTACGATAAAGAAAGTTTTCTTTTGCCCTAGGGATATAACCTGTTAGTTTTAGACGCATGGCTAAAGGTGGGCTCCGAACAACTGGGTTATGGTTAATAGTAGCATCACCAGTGGTGTACCAGAGGGGCGGTAATATTATCACAGACTTGGAGATAGTTATCTTTTATTGTAATACTCGCCTAGGGCTCTGCCCTTAACGCTTATTAAGTCCAATATTGATCTTCGAAACCATGATAAGCCGGGGTAGCGGATTTTTATCCCCCTGGAATTTTACCCCCTGGGCAAACGTGACGTCACAAACCAGGGGGTAAAATTCCGGCCGCGAACTTTTGAGTTTCGCGACATCACCTCGATGGATTAAACGCGGAATTAAACATATATTTTCACGGTTGTGAATTTAATCAGAACACATCATATTATAAAAACCTAGAATGTACGGCCCGGATTTTTACCCCTGGAATTTTACCCCCGGAATTTTACCCCCCGGATTTTTACCCCCGGATTACTACCCCCGGAATTTTACCCCCTGGCCAGATGTATAAATTAGTGAGAATGATTAATCATCTTCATTCAGTTTTAAATTAATAGTTAACATTTTATTATCAAGTAGCCTATCTTAATTTATTTGCAACATTAACTAATCAAACAGGTTTTTAATTTTAATTTTGAGATTCGAGTATCAGGATTCGATTTTTGTAGCCAACTGTTGGTTGATATGATCAAAATAAAACAGCAAATTCTGTTTACTTAGTTGAGGTTACAAAATAAATAAATAAAGATATGCTACTAAGTAATTAAATGTTTACAATTATTAAAAACAGAAATAAGAAAATCAATCATTCCATTTTTAAAATCGGCCAGGGGGTAAAATTCCGGGGGGTAAAAATCCGGGGGTAAAATTCCGGGGGTAAAAATCCGGCCCGTACATCTTCAGTTGTCTAAACGCTAGTTATATGGACAGGGGGTAAAATTCCGGTTTTTATCGCTAATCTAATTATCACACTCTGACTATTTTCATTAGACTTCCAAATCCACGGGGGTAAAATTCCGGCCACGAACAAACTTTTGACCACTCAGGTTACTACGTCATAGTGACGTCAGCTTTGCCCAGGGTGTAAAATTCCAGGGGGATAAAATTCCGGCGACCCGATAAGCCCCTAGAAATTCCACCCTACCCGGTATGGCAATCAATAGATTTTATTTCAGTAATACCTTTTACTTTTGAAGTCAAACGTGGCGAAGCCCGCGGCTAGTAGTATATATTCTGTGCTAAAAGCTAGTTACATATAACCATTCTAGCTACCACGTTGACAGTTACTACCATGCAACATCTTGGCTGTATTGCAATCTGTTATATTGCGTTCACGATACCGGTTACCGTTATAATCATTGTAGCTTCCACGTTCACAGGTAGATAGTTGTTCTCTTAGGCAATCTTATCTTTTGCGCTTTATGAAACCCACGATAACAGTTATTCTAACTGCATTATAATTTACCTCGAAAGTTGTTCAAGCTAATATACCAAGTTTATTGCTCTTCTGTCTGTTTGTAGTTAGTGAATAGGATACTAGTTTTTCTTACTTTACAACGTTTGTAGTACTTGTTCAAGTCAATATAGAATGTTCATTATATTTCAATATGTTGCGCAATAGCCAAAGTTATAAGTTCAACTTTGACAATTCACGCTAATTCAGACACCACTCGGAACACATTGACAGTGGTTCAATCTGTCATAGTATCCAGGATGACAATCCTTACCATTAGTTACCGGTACCACATTAACCGCGTTTACTCTATAAGAATAACGTTAACAGTTAACTAAACTCGTATATAAGTTTAACAATCTGGCAGATTTTTTTGTGTCGGAACCACGTTATCAACGATTTGAATTATGTTTACCTCAATGGCCTAGGTTGTTAAACTAAATTTTCTGTGGTACAGTTGCGTAGTTTTTGATAAATGAATTCTCATAATTTACAATTTGGTATTTTGTTGGGTCTAAAACCCGTACATCAGTAAAATTTATGAAATGAACAACAACCAGACAAGAGCCTAAATGAGCAATTCTCCATCCAATATAGATAATTTGGCATGCTTAGGCCCTATTTGGCTCTTTAAATCCTAGATACAAAAGTGTGTTAAAATCCCTACACTATAATAACGTATTATTTTTTGGAAAAAATATGGTTACTCTGTTATTATAATCATTACAACGGTTACATTTTAAGAGCGCGTTGTTTACAAAAGATACAACCAAATTTTATATCGTGAAAGTATTTTTTCTGACATAAGGTAAAATCGTACTTAAATTTATATGATGGTTTTACTTATCAGGAATGAATGAAATGATCAGTAGTAGTGGCATGAAGGGTAAGTATTCAATTTACCAAAGGTATCTACGAAACATATTCAAACGAGAATATTATTTCTGTGATTTAACACGACTCCTGAACGTTGTGGATCCTGTAATCCCGAGGAACAATCGCAACATATGTCTGAGACAATCATCCCCGACACCATCAAACAGGTTGTTTACGTTTCCCGGGTTCCATATGGATGCTTCTCCCACGTGCTGTCAACAACTTTTATCGATCTTCCGGAGATCCTGGACTCCCTGGACCCTCAGGGACCTGTCGTCATCCCCCAGGACTCCTAGACCTCGTCCTCTGGCCCCCCGATGTCAACATATGGTCTAACCTATCCTACCTTCTGGATGATGTAGCAACGGGCCGAGTATGCGGTGCAGATGTAGGTGCCATCGGCGTCCAGGCAGGCTGCCAGGGGGTCCGCCACTTTCTTGACTGGCACTCGGCTACAATGGGGCATCTCCTGAGGACATGTACATGACCGGACCGACCTGTTGAGTTCGTAGGTTCGACTGGTGATGCGCCGACGCTCCTCGCGGACACGCGCGTGGGTCACCCCAAGTGCAACATCGACCCACCCCACCCAGCATCTCTACCTTCAAACTGTGTTATCTGAGAGTTTCAAAATAAATTGTAAACTTGTACACTTTTATTGGATAGCGCGATTAATTTCATTCATATCAATGGATAAGAACGTGTTTAAATATAGCCAAGTAGTGTAGTTCCTTCTCAAAAGCGACAATTTGTGGTTAATCAGTAATCCTGAACCATACGCAAGCTGTCAGGGTTGACAATGTTGTGTTTATTTTTCTGTAAAAGACCTCGTTTTATAAGTTGTATGTAGTTAAATACAAAATATGCGTGAACAGACTGCAGTCAGTTTATTTTATTCAGATAGTTTTACGAAAATACATTATTGATTGCCCTTGTTGTAAAAGTCAATACACAAAACTCCCACTTAGGCTACATGTAAAAATATAAACTATACAGGGTTGAAGCCACGGTACATTCAATTACTTTAACAAATAGTCAAGATAGCCTAGAGCTAAAAACTTGGTACAAAGTGATTCGGCATTAAAATCATGTTAACACATTATTCAGTGGTGCCATAGACCAAGCAACACTGGGAGTATGTTTTCTCTATGGTGTTACGCTACCCCATCAGGAGGACGGCCCGCTAGGAGTCAGAAGAACATCTTAAATACGTAGCCATAGGTTGATATGTGCATCAAACATCAAATTAAAGGACTTAACTAGTAAACTACAATGCCGTGAATTTGAACTCCAACGGAAAACTAAGTCAAAAATTGCTGCCATTCAAAGATGTCTTGAATCTGCCATTTTGAGTATTCAAATCAAAATCAAAAATTTTTTATTGGCATGGCTTGAGTCACATTATTCAAATACAATACAATAAATAAAATACAACATTCACATAAGTAACAAACCTCTTTACCTATTTTTAGCATAATTTTTTACAGAATAAAAATGTTTTTCAAATAGAAATATTTTAATTTTTCGTTTGAAGGTGATGTCACTTATTGACTTAAGCTTGTTGGGCAGCAAGTTGAACAACATTATAGCATTGTAAAACACATGGCGTTTAAAAAAGGAAGTTTTGTGTTGTGGGATATTTAAATCGGTTCTTTTCCTGGTATTGTAATTGGAGTGAGGGAATAAAGGTTAAAAAAAACTATGGTTTTGCTTTAAAAATATCAAAGTGTTGTAGATATAGATGCAAGGAAAAGTGAGTATTCTTAATTGAATGAAAGCCGATTTACATGAATCTCTTCGACCAATGCCAGCAATAACCCGAACTGCCTCTTTCTGGAGCGCAAAAATATGTTTTGTTGCACATGATTCAGATCCCCATACCGTGACTGCATATGAGAGATAGGGGAAAACCACTGCATAGTATGCTGAGAGAAGAACAGTTTTTTCTGCAAATGGAGCCAGCCGACGTAAAACAAAAATTCCAGAATTCACACTTCGTGCAACAATGTCAATATGACATTTGTACTTCAGATTCTTATCAATGTTAAGCCCTACTTCAAATTGTTCACAGACGACACCGCAACATCGTCAATCGAAACACAGAGATTAGATTTACTCTTTGATGATATGCTGAAGTCAATTAAGGCAGTTTTGTCATTGTTTATGACGAGACCATTATCCTGAAACCATTGGACGATTTTATTGGACTCCAAAAAAGTAGTTACTTCCATAGCATTGTGGGTAGGTTTCTCCAAAACAATTCATGTGTCATCCGCAAATAGACATAGATGGGCATCTGCAATGCAATTACCGATGTCATTTATGTACAGGATAAATAAAACAGGCCCTAAAATGGAACCTTGAGGCACACCAGCTTTGACAAACAAGACATCAGAATTGCACTTTTTCAGGGTGTTATTTTCTGTGTATGGTAATTGAACGACTTGCCTTCGTCCCCTGAGATAAGAAGACAACCATGAATTCGTTACTCCTCGTACTCCAATGTTGTCAAGCTTTTCTAGCAATAAATCATGAGATACCATATCAAAAGCTTTCCGCAGATCAAAGAAGACTCCAGAGGCCGATGCTCCTTTGTCTAATGCATTCACAACCCTATCGATTATTGAAAACATTGCATTGACGTATAATCAGTAAGATCAGTAGTCCTGATATTTAAATGGATTGTTCTTTTTTGTTGTTGTTTGTTTTGTAAATAATATACACGATGTTTATGTTAACGGTGATTAATTTGATGTAAATCTGTGTTATATGATTATTATTAATCTTTGATAACAACCACCAATTTTGGCTCACTTGCCCTGGAATTTTGAACATTTTGTGCGTAGAGTAATTAAATATAAAGTCAATTTTGAGGTCTGAAGTTTTATTAAAATTCCTATACACTGCTTTAATTATTGATATAATTTTGTATTGCAAGTCATAAAAACAAAGAAGTTTGTCGGCCATTTTTTTCCAATTTGAGGAGTGTAGCTAACTGTTGTATGAAACAAAGATTACAGCTAATTTGTTATAGCAATCTGCGGTTATATACAAAACTAATATTTTTGAACTTGGTTCTAAAGTTCAGAGAGCTCATAAGCCCAGTAATATGAATGATTTACTGTTGTCGAATTTTGAACGTAAATTCACAGTCATTCTTTCTCACGGACTTTTTAAAACTTTTTATATTAGTGGGTTTTAAGCTTCATTTCCTGTTTTAGGTATATCTTATCCCTTTTCCTTTCCTATAAATGATAAACATAACATAAAGTATAACACAATTCCAAAGTTCAAACACCAACTCTCAGCCGTCAGGGCTGTGAGAGCCAAAATTGACCACTGCGCGGAGTTGGACATGTGCCGCGAGGGATCCGAAGTGACCACTGCGCGGAGTTGGACAGTCGGTTTTGACAGATTTATGACCACTGCGCGGAGTTGGGATAAGCCCTTGACAGTAGACCCACCTTTGACGAATCCAAACTGATTGGGGCACAAAAGTTTGTTGTGATTCAGGAAAGTCAACAACCTATTTAAAAATGCCTTTTCAATCACTTTGGAAAATGTTGAAGTTATTGAAATAGGTCTAAAATTATTCAGATCATGAACACTGCCTTTCTTGTGAACTGGCTTTACAATGGATAATTTTATTGCGTCTGGAAAACTTCCCGTTTGAAAGGAGTGGTTGATGATATGAACTAAAGGATCTACTAAAAATTCACAACAGGACTTCAGAAGCTTTGATGACACGCTATCACAGCTTGATGATGGCTTTGTTTTCAAGGACTTGATTAATTCTAATACCTCCTCCTTAAGCAAGGTAAGCACAGGTGTTACACCTGTAAGCACAGGTGTTAAGAAAAACGAGGTTTCAGAAGAAACAGACTCCAAATTAGAAGAAGAATTTCGGAAAGCATTTACATTTCCACTACCTACTTCCACAAAAAATCTATTGAACATATTAGAGACCAATTTTGGATCACTAATACTTGTACCACTCTCATCCTTGATGTTGAAAATATCAGAAGATGGTTTCCTCAAACCTCTATTTTCATTTACAATCTCCCAGACAGTCTTGGTTTTATTAGAAGACTTATTTATAATAGCAAGCACTTTAGATGACTTGGCAGCTTTGATACTATTCCTATACTGTCTTTTCAACGAGAGAAAGTGTTGTCTCATGACGTGAGAAGTATTTGAACTGCTGAGATTTGTTTACATTTTCTTCGATACAAATTGTTATAAGACATTTTTTAATACAAATCAAGAACATTTTCAAAGTTTCTTTAAGTATTTCTAAAAGTCTTTAATATCAGTTAGTCTTAACAGTCTTTTTTTCATACATCGTTATCTTGAATTATTAACATTTTCTTAGATTACATTTTTTTATATAAGACATGTTTAATATCATTCAAGAACATTTTCATACTCGGTTGTCCGTTTGAGTACGGGTTTGCGGCAATGTGTTTTACTAAATAAGAACTCGGCCAACAATGTACAGGGTGTCCCGTAACTCTCTGGACACATGTAGCGTTATTGCTTAGGTCAAGACAAACACATTTCGCCATAGGAACATGGGTCTGTGGTGCCTAGTTTTCCGTCCGTCTTTATTTATGTGCTATTTAGAAAAAGATTAATAACTCCTCAACGGTTTGAGATAAAGCATTGAGATTTTGCAAAAATGTTTATCTTATTAAGACCCATTTTCTTTTAAAATTATACTTAAAAAACATCAACCGTTTCAAAATGGTGGCCATTTAAAATATTTTATGCCAAATTTCACGAAAACCGTTAGCTTTACAAAAAAATTGCAAGAGACAATAAAGTTAGTAAATTTTATATAGTTTTCAATGATTTATTTGTTAAGAATGGATAAATAATAACAGAAAAATGTCTTCTTTTCCAAATGCATGACCACTTTTCTCCATTTAAACCATGCTTATACCTACTCCTATTGCATTGTCTAACATTTTTAACATTTTTACTCCTATTGCATTTTGGTTGACTCTATGCATAATCTAAAGCTGGCTGAAAACTGGTTAATTTCTAATAATCTTGTTCTAAATAATGATAAGACAAAAACTGTTTTGTTTAACCTTCGTGAAGTACACAGTACGCCAATGGATGAGAGAAATCCAAAATTTTTAGGATTAACTTTTGAATCTACTTTGACATGGCATGACCATGTTATAGTTTTAAAAAATAACCTGAGTTCAAGTATATTTGCTCTTAAACAATTATGTGGCGAACTAGAACGGCCTTCTCTCATACAGGTATACTATGGACTTTTTCATAGCCATTTAAGCTATGGGTTACTTGTTTGGGGGTCTTCTGCTCATGCAAAAGAAATTTCCAATTTGCAGCAAAGGGAAATTAGGGTAATAGCTGCTGTAGATAGGCACCATGATTGCACTGCTTTTTTTTAAAGATTAGCAAATATTAACACTGTTTTCTCTATTTATTAAGCAATGCCTGTTATATTTAAGACCACAATTAGATAAGTTAGACTATAGGAGAGATATACACTGCCATAATACTCGTCATAAATCTTACTAATATTATAAATGTGAAAGTTTGTGTGTTTGTTTGTTTGTTTGTTTGTGTGTTTGAAGTTCAATCACGCATAAACCACTGGACGGATTGGGCTGAAATTTGGCATGATGATAGCTTACATTCCCGATTAACATATAGGCATATTCTTATCTCAAAAATCCTTTCGGGCTCCGCCCCAGTGGCTCTGTAATTCCCCATGTTAACCTTATGAGTATTCATATTTAAAGGGAATTAAAGAATTACAGAAGAACTACAGAAGAAGAACAGAACTACAGAACCTGTAAGAATTACAGTTACCTAACAATGTATATGTTCTCTCACTGATTTGAGAAAGCAAAGTGGCCAATTCGCTCATCAGTGAGACAATGTTAACATTGTCTCACTCTAATTACTTTGTCTCACTCCAGATTTGCAACGTGAGTGCACGAAATAGTGAGCGCGTAACATGCAGGCAACGTCGTATGCGCGCGAAATACGTTGGCAGCACTGGCTATAAATCAGCTGGTCAGCTGTTGTACTATTGTATTTGTCACTTCACATTAAATGTTATATTAAAAGTTCACTTCTGTGTAAAAATAGGTTATGTTTCTTCACCAATTTATTTGTTTTATGGCAACTGTAGGAAAAGTGTAATGTGCAACTCGAGTGCAAAGTACAATTACCTCACTCGAGAAACCATTCCTCACTCGTGAGTAAGGATTTCTCTCGAGTGAGTCAATTGCTCACTTTTCTCACTAGTTGCACAAATAACTATAGTCAGCTGTTTCAACTAAAAAAGTTGGTTCTATGATATGGAAAAGCATTAAAAAGTTATAAGATTTACCACCAGGGTGCGGCACTATATTTTTTTTGCATTTATGAAAACAGCTAATTTGAACTAAGCAGCAACAAAAAACTGTGATTCGCAATGAGAACTGTCAAAGTAGGATTGTTTACGGTAATGTTTATGTTTTTCATTTCATGAATAATTTGTGATATTTTGCGAATTGTTGATAATTTATTTTTCTCTATTGTTTAGGTGAAGTGGTAGAACATTATGGCTATGGTAGATGTGTAATACTATAGAATACTGTAATTTAAAAAAGCAAATTTTATCAAACTGTGTCCTCCCTTACTGCAAACGCAAAGCTTGAGTATAACTGCAATACGCATTTTATACTTATATTCCAACCCCGTACGAAGGACGGGTACTCTGCTAGTGTAATATAAATCTTCCTTATGTTACTTGCTAAAACTGATAAAAACCATTAATTTTAAGCGGTAAATTTTATAACAAGTTACCAATAGCCATAAGATTACTTAGTGATAAGGATTTCAAGATTAAAATAAATAACTTTCTTTGTAATCCGCCATTATACTCAATAGAAGATTATATGTCAAGAACACTGAATCCACTAGATTTTAATTAATGTTATGTTATGACTAATTTGACGTGCCAATGTATTTGTATGGAATATTAACTGGCAAATAAAAATCTCATTCTCATTCTAAATCTATATTCACCACTTACCATCTTTCATATGTATTTACCGTCTTGTGATTCAACAGTATAATTGTAAATATATTATTACTAGTATTATTAGACGTATAATTTATTTGTTTTTTTCAGGTAATTTAATAACACGTACGATGCTGATCAAGAAGTTATTGTCTAATAGTAGTTTACGCGACGATTGCGTAAAGATAGTGTGTTAACGATACGAGTAGAAAATTTAAGGTACGAGCCTTAGCGAGTGCCTTAAAAACTTCTACGAGTGTCGTTATAGTGGTTTACGTAACGATTGTGTTAAGTTAGTCTTTACGACACGAGTAGAAAATGTAAGGCACGAGCCTTGGCGAGTGCCTTAAAAACTTCTACGAGTGTCGTAAAGACTATTAACGTGAGTTGCGTACACTACTTTACCTACGTCAGTTTTTTTAAGTACTAACAATCTGGTTTTTAATTACTAACAATCATTACTCATAACATCTTAGAGAGGTTATGTCATTCATTGTAGAATTATAGCTCAGTGATTGCAACTGAAAGTGATGCAACGACTTATTGTATTATCAGAATCAGCTGATTTCATGTAATTACGTGTTTGTAAAATTTCGTTAAATAATACCTATAATACGTTACTATTTTTCAGGCAATAGCTTCTGCTAGCAGCATTCTTACCATAAATACTGTATCAGATACATTTAGGGAAATATTGCATATTTAGTTGGACAACTGAATAATATAGTGAAACAATTAATTTACAGTTAGATCTCAGCATCGAATATGTGGTCCACAACGAGTTGGGTGAAACAATGGTTGGAATGGTTAAGAGGTTTTCAAAATAAACCATAAGCACATTTTCATTTATCAATCTAACCTTATTTTGTTTCGTCCATTTAATGAATTGCTGGTATGTAATTTCATACATTTGTTTCAATTTTGGTGGCAAAAGATTAGCACAAACAGTTTGTGCTCTCATTTCCATCTCGTCAACTTCACTTTCACTAAAACTGAAATTTTTAAATCAGTTTAATCATTGACTATATATACCTATATATAGTACCTGTAGGTATATATAGTCAATGGTTTAATCTACCTTCCTTTAACCACCAACTGAGGGTTAAAATTACGCGAGTATCAACAGGAACAAGACGGACCAACAATTAAAATGGTCAACTGATCAGCTGATCAGCTGATTAGTTGACGTTCGAAGCATTACAACTTTACTTATTTTCTCTCAATCCTTGAATCTCATTGGTACGTTACCCGTGTTGTTATGAGAAAAACTATGCTGTTATGAAATGAAACTGCCGTTATGAAAGTAAACAGCTGTTAAGTGAAACTTTTCAATTCTAAGAACTGAACTGAAATGGCTAAATTAAAAAACTGTCGTAGGTAATAGTAGTTTACGCAACGATTGCGTTAAGTTAGTCTTTACGACACGAGTTGCGTACACTACTTTACCTACGACCGTTTTTTAATTACTAACAATGTTAAAATTGTTTGATTACCGAATGTTAAAATACAACAACAGTTTTATCAATGTTTGTATTTAAAAAATATCAAACATCCGAAACTCTAGTTCATAATATTACGTAACACGTCACCCGTACTATAGTCAATGGAATTATTTGAATTTTATTTAGGTTTAAATAGCTTTGTGCTTATTCTCTTCAAATTGTCAAATAATACAGAACATATATTTTTAAAATAAATTTAAAATTGTATATAGTATAGTTTTAAAACATGTTAAATGTTACCACAGATCAAGATTTCCACAGTTTTGTGTTAGGTGTAAAATAGTCCAGGAACAGCTGATATTATCCAATTAACAATAGATCACTTTACTTGCATGGTAAACTTAAAACAAAATGAGTCTAATACCGCACAAAACTGGGTTTCTGAGTGTTTGTTATTCTATTACCAATAGACGTAGACACATTTCAAGTTATTAAAAACCTTCTCATGCATGTAGAGAATACATCGAAATAGTTTCATCATAATCTGTTTGGTCGTTTTCCCAGAGAAGAGAGCGTAAAATGCCATCTTGGGTGTTACAGACAGACAGAAATTGAGATAACGCGCGTTTCGGCTTTCCTATCGTATGGAAAAATGAAAAAATAACCGAAACATTTATGATTCTACGCAATGTACAGACCAAACTCTAATTTTGTTTATATAGATTAGCTAACCTAACCCAACCTAACTCAATTTTCAAAATTTTATTTGCTGACAAAAAAGACATGCGAGGAAGATAGGTTGGACTTTCAAGTATTCCACTACACCTAACATTCCGTAGAGAGATTATATTGACAACTTTATGTTATTGATAAGGCTGAGACAACTAACTGACATCCCCCATGTCAAGGAACTCCAGCTTTAACAGTAACCCCACAATCAATAATTTCTCAAAACTATGATAGAGGGTTCATTCATTGGCACAGAAGTACGATATGAACTGACGCGACGTGACGAAGGAAAAATCAAACTTACGCTGTAACGGATATACCTCCCTTTGAAGTTAGAATATGTCTTCCCAAAAAAATATTTTCTTTTGAAATAAAATCATATTACACTGACGAAATCACGAAAGTGTTTAACTACAAAAGATCCATCAATACGATTTTAATACTATTTAAACGTTCTTCCAAAGGAATATATACCATATAACATACTAATAATAACTCCGATGACGTACGGTATGGGGAATATTTTATTCATTGAATGATCAACCTAATTTGGCAACTAACGCAATTAATATCATTACTGTTTTTACACTTACTCTTTAAACAATGCCAAATGCTCAAAATATGTATATTTCACGCAATTTGTCGCAGTTAGATGAATTATCGTAAGCCTTTAAAGTAACCGTCGATTTCGACGGATTTCACCTAGTAAAGCAAAATCTTTGGAAAAAGTTAGAGTCTCCTACGGGTTTCGAACACGAGACCTCCTGATCACTAGTCCGATGCGCTATCAGCTAAGCCACGAATGCCGCTGGAATCACATCGTTTCGTTACGGTAATCGTGTTGCCTCAAGAGAAGACATTAGCCATTATAGATATGACGTCACCACACCTTTAGCCATCGTCCTTCCCGTATGCCCATTCCGGCGGCGGTGTGTGTATTTTCTAAAGACAGGGCTGCCACATATACAACACTAAATTATACACAACTGCATACATGATATACATATAACATGTTTCTACTACTAATGAGATTTGAGATTAATCAGTGTCATTAGATGAATTATGGAAAAAAATACAAAATATATAATATTATACTTTTAGTATGTTACAGTTAAGTAGTTAGTAGGAAACATTTTCACTTTAATTTTTTCACAAATGATTTTTTATTTACACGGGCAGCACGTTTCCTTCCCGTTGCGTTCACATTTTATTTCACTTTGTGTGAGTTCACTTTGTGTAGTTTTGACATTCCTGTGCTTCTTCTTTTCCTCTCTAACTCTCAGTTGAGCCACCAGCATGGTGCCCATTTTATCACCAACACAGTGTTGACATTTTTTTTCGTAACCATATCGACCAATCGATTGTCAACCGACCGAACAGATCGTTTTCGAAAACCAAACCAGTCAACCACTGGATCGACGTCGACGACAACCAAACGTCGACCGTTTTCTGCTGATGTCCCGCCAAGCAAGAGCAAAGCCAAAGCCAATCCTCACCTCCTAAATTGCATTCCTATCATAAAAAAATACTTCTTGGGCTTCTAAGCCTAAGTTATTATTAGCACATCCAAAAAATATGACTTATGCTTCTGAATTGTTATGTGTGTATATATTCACTTTACTGTTGGGTTGGGATTGTTCAGTTAGTGAGGTCCTACATCTGCCACTGTTGTGTATCGAAATATTTATCTAGCATGCATTTGTGAGTCAAGACGGACTATTTATTTTTTATTTTGTATCGAGAGTGACATAGCCTATTGCATTGCTAAATGGCCAAATAAATAATTGAAGCAAGTTAAGCCTAATTAAATAAACACCGAGATGGTTCATTAACGAATAGGCCTATGGTAAAAGGTTTTAACTTTAAAACTTTCTATGAACTAATATATATAACAATAATAATAGGTAATTATCAGTTTTATCAGGTCCGTTCCAGCCAGCAGCGTATGAATTATTGAAATATACAATATATTAAACACCCTTGTGGCTGGAAAATGCTTTAGCTACTGAAAAAACAAAAGTAGCCTTTTAATATGATACAGGAACAGGCTCTCACTTGGTTTATTTTTAAGCTTATGGGTAAATGTGTAAAAGAGGACTGGCACAACACACTAAATGACTAAATAGTTCCTTCTCTTGAGTTTCGAGTCAAACTACCCTGTCGTGTTTTGTTTTCCTACTTGGTTTAATAACTATAAGGTTAAACGATTCTTCCTTTAGTTGTCAAATCATTATTTTAAAAGGTTAGGTATACCCAAGCAAGACGCGTTATTTTTTCACAAGTCTTTTTAGTGTGTTTTAATCGACAATCGATAGCAAGTGATGGTCGATACGACTACAAACGATATTGAACCGATATTTTGTCAACACTGTGGGGGTGATAAAATGGTCACCTATCAGCATTGACTTTATAAGGTCTGACCATAGACTAACCGTATGTTTTTATCTATGGTCTGACTTAGGGGAGGTACGAATGAGGCATTAGTTCAAAATTCCTCCGTGAACAGCGATGTAGTAGAGAGCACATTGGCAATGAAGGTTTACTAATCGCAAAAATAGTTCTGTTTGTAAAATAACATTACAAATGCCTCAAATTTAATTTTATAATTTTTTTATTATTAAAACTATCATAACATAACCGAACTAACCAAACTTGCTGATAATGAAATAATATAACAAAAGTTTAGTAATAAAAAAATAATTATGTTTATTAAATAAAACTAGAAATTGCTCAATTAAAATTGTATAATGACTTAATAAGGGTGAGGTTCATAATGTCCAAATTTCACAAACTCCAACGTATAAATATTAAATAAACAGTGCGTTTCTTAACCTCCAAATTTCATAAACTCCAAAACTATAACTTTCAAATAAGCACCGTTTCACAATGTCCAAATTTCACAAACTCCAACGGTAATATATAAATAAACAGTACGTTTCATAACCTCCAAATTTCATAAACTCCAAAACTATAACTTTCAAATAATCACCGATTCACAATGTCCAAATTTCACAAACTCCAACGTTTAAATATCAAATAAACAGAGCGGTTCATAACCTCCAAGTTTCATAAGCTCCAACGGTACAGTCTCTGCCAGAAGTCGCTGCAGAGGTTGCCGTGGTTCGGTATGTAGGCGCTACACGTTCTAGTGTTGTAGCGGCGCAACACGAAGCATCATTGTTGCTCCGTAATTGCTTTCTTAAGGGTATAAGCAAAGGGAGTATGTTTTATCTATGGTATAATTATATAAGAGTTCCCATAGTCCGATCATGCTAGTTCGCGAACTCGTTCGAATAAACGTACGTTTACACGTTTGTACCAAATTTAATCAAAATCGGATGATTTTTGCTCGAGTTATCGCGCTAACGGATACACATATAAATATATATTATATATATATGAATTTGAACTGATGGTGTTTTTGGTCTCTAGGGACCTCAAAACGAAAAAGTAAATCGGTCCCTGGACCAGGTCTTACCATGAGTACTACGGTAATAGCTTATTCCCTATAGGGGAAATTCGCTAAAATGTAAATTTGATTTGCACAGTGTGTGCTAACACATATTTGAGTCACACAGCTGAGTGTTATTCAATCATTAAAATGTACGTATAATCAGTAGTTGAGCGCTGGCGAACGGTGCCTGGTATCTGACTGTGGCAACCACTAGAGAGACTTCTGGCCCAGACGCACAATTTGTTTTTCAGGATTTATTTTGCCAACAGTGTCATTTAGAGGCTTCTGATTGATAATATAGGTTTACTAATTGAAAAATTAGTTTTGTTCATAGAATAAAATTGTAAATGCCTCAAATTAGATTTTATAGTTTTTTTTATTGTGAAATTAACGTCATAAACTAACCAAACCAACCAAACGTGCTGACAATGAACAAATCTAATGAAGGTTTATTAATCGAGAAAATAGTTGTGTTCATAAAATAAAATTATAAATGCCTCAAATCCTATTTTATAATTTTTAATTATAAAACTAAACTATCATAACCTAACCAAACTTGCTGATAGTGAAAAATCGAATGAAGGTTTTATTCGAAAATATGTTTCTGTTCATAAAATAAAACTATAATTGGGTCAAATTCAATTTTATAATGTTTTAATTATAAAATTAAACCATCATAACCTAACCAAACTAACCAAACGTGTTGATAATGAAAAAGTCCAATACAAAAAAATAGTGCTACGGGTGGGATTCGAACCCAGGTCCTTCGGAATATCAGCCCAGCACTCTATCCTCTACACCACCGAGGCCGTTGGCGTAAATCCGTATCGTTGCGGTAATGATGTTCCCTCAGCCAATCAGAAAATAAGCCTCAAAATAATACTGTAGGCAACACTAAACCTGAAATAAAAATTCAGCGGCCCAGACTGTACCGTTGGAGGTTATGAAATTTGGACATTATGAACCGCTCTGTTTATTTGGTATCTAAACGTTGGAGTTTGTGAAACTTGGACATTGTGAAACAGTGATTATTTGAATGTTATAGATTTGGAGCTTATGAAATTTGGAGGTTATGAACCGCTCTGTTTATTTAATATTTAAACGTTGGAGTTTGTAAAACTTGGACATTGTGAAACAGTGATTATTTGAATGTTATAGTTTTGGAGCTTATGAAATTTGGACATTATGAAACGCGCTGTTCATTTAATATTTTAAGCGTTGGAGTTTGTGAAATTTTGAGTTTATGAAACGCTCCCCTTAAGGATAAAATTAAACTGTCATAACCGAACTAAACCAACCAAACTTGCTGATAATGAAAAAATCTTGGACAAAAAGTTAATGTCACCAGCGGGATTTGAACCCGGGATCATCAGCATATTGGCCTGGCACGCAGACCACTAGACCACCGAGGCCAATGGCCACAGCCCGTATTGTTTGTTACGGTAATAGCGTTGCTTCAGCTAATAAGAAGTCCACAGCCAGCTGTCTAGCTGTCATCGTAGGCTCTTCTATACCTCCCCTGAGTAAATACCGACTTGATAGTCACTAGTCAGTTCACCGGTGGGACACACGGGAGGGACTAAGGCTAACATATCTTGTAGTGTCAGCGTTCGCCGCTAGAACTGCTTAGTTGAAAAATTTTTTTATTTTTTTATTTTTAGTTATAAAATTAACTTTTTAATTATAAAATGCAGTTTTAAAATTATAAAATAAATTTTTAATTTTTAAAATTAAACTGTCATAACATAACCTAACCAACCAGACTTGCTGATAATATAAAAACTATATAAGATAAAAATCTAATTAATGATTACTTATAATTTTTAATTAATTATAAAATTAATTTTAAAATTTAGTATTATCAAATTAAACTGTCATAACCTAACCTAACCAACCAAACTTGCTGATATGAAAAATTTGTTTGATAAAAAGTTAATGCTGCCAGCGGGATTCGAACCCGGGACCTCCAGAATATCAATACGTAACGCTACCAACTATGCCACGAACGCCGCTGAAATCACATCGTGTCGTTACGGTAATCGTGTCGCCTCAAGAGAAGACATTAGCCACTAGAGATATGACGTCACTACACCTTTAGCCTTAGTCCCTCCCGTGTGCCTAATCCGTCAGTTCACTCACTTCACTCTCACGTCTCACTTTGTTCAGTTTCTTCTTCTTCGTGTTCGTGTTCAGTTCATGTTCTTGATTTGATTTCGGATTTCGGTTCGTTGGTTCGTTCTCGTTCGGCCATTTTGAGAATTAGTTTGGGAGTTGAGTTGATAACTGGTTGAAAATTTTTAATAACTTCGTAAATCTGTGAACTGCTGCGCTTTGCAAGTGTTTAATTTCCTGTGGATACTTTTTATATCGTATGTCAATCCAGAACCTCAACACATTTGGTAGGTTGGCCTAGTTAAGTGTAAACCTATTTATGTATGTTGTCAGTGAGTGAGTCTTGGGATAGGCTGCAATTAGTTATTGTTCTGAAATTTATACTTTACCGAGGAATCCTTTCCAGGTTCAGATTTATATTAAAGATACAAGTTTACCATAAAGTAACAACAGTAGACTAGGTGTAAGTTATTCCCGTGATAAGGTAGGGTACATAGGCTTAACACGTTCGCTGCTACGGACGTTCCGGAACGTCAGCCGGGCCACGGCGCCAGGAGCTAAGAACGTTCCAGAACGTCACCGTTCATTGTTGTTTAACGTTGCTATGGATAAGCCAGCACGTCACAAGCGTTCTATATTTCTTTGCAGCTCGTGGGGACGTACTTTTCTGACAATAAAAAATATAGTTTTTCCAAATCACCACCAGGGTCGTTTGGAACAGGGCTTTGTTTTACCTCTTTCCTGCTAGATAGCGATACTACTTTAACGACTGTAACCTGGGTAGTGCTGCTATCTATCAGAATCACTTAGTACTATATCCAAAGCCAGTTGTATTGCAGAACATTGCCATCCAGTATAACTACTGTTGTTTTTATTGTAATTCAGTGTATCGGTGGCAATGTCACGCAGCGGCCGAGCGTTAGTTCAGCAACTGGCGCCGTCCCGGCATCTAGTGCTCAGCAGCGAACGTGTTAAGTCACAAAACATAATAAGTTATGGTACAGCTTAACCTTGGTAGGCTAAGCAAGAGTCTTAAGGCCTTTTCACACCGGCGTACTGGACGTACTGTACGTTTGGTACGGCCAGTACGTCCAGTACGCGCAGTGTTTCCATTCGCGGGGTTATTATCCCGAAAACGGGATTTTTAGACCTTGAGCGGGATTAAAACGGGATGCGGGATAAAACGGGATTTTTGGCTGTGACGACTATTTTTATCTTTTCCACTCAATTTTAGAGAAAACTAACTCAAATTGTTTAAATACTGTAGCAAAATATAATAGTGATGTTTAAACAACTTATAAAAATGATACGTAAAGTTTAATATTGGGAATTGTACCAAAAAAATCATGCGGGATAAAACGGGATTTTTCACCGATTTAAAAGCGGGATAAAACGGGATTTCTCAACCCAGGAAGCGGGATTATTTTTTTGGTCGTGTGGAAACACTGAGTACGCGATCCATTCACACCGCACAGAAACTTTCAAAACGTACACTTGTTCGTTTGCAGTCAGACAAGTAGGCTAACACTGGCTGAGCACGTGGTTTTGAAGTGTTCACTGCGCATGCGCGAGTCCATGTCACGTACGTTTTAGAAAAATCGCTCTCCGAGCGATTCACACAAAACCATCACGTACGTAACTTACTGGACGTTTTGTACGTTCTGTACGCGGTGTGTGAACGAGCTCAAATGATAACATGGGCAGCGATTTGTTGAAAAAAAACGTACCAAACGTACAGTACGTCCAGTACGCCGGTGTGAAAAGGCCTTTAAGGTTTAACTAAGCTCATGCATCACTTAAATTTCATTTCCGAGTAGGTAGGCCTAGGCTATTTTGCTTAGGCCTAACGTGTGTGTATATAATGGATAGGCATAAGGGTACGCTACCGTAAAACGGGGTGAATTGAGGCCTGTGGGGTGACTTGAAACCATAAGCTAAAAAACGTTTTAAACTTTTTTAATTTTGTAACTACTAATAAATTACCTGTACACTTCAACTTTTTTTGAAGCCTAATACCTTAGCTTCAATATGGTATAATAATATCTTCAATTGAAACAAAATTGAATGTAAATGAAAATAAAATTTAAAAGCTAAAAAGTTTCCCGAAAATTTTAACCCGAATAATGTTATACTTTTTTTCAGAACAATAACTCTGTGAAACCTGTGGCATTTTTTTTCTCTTTTTTCAACTTCTCAAATTACATTATCAGCATAGTTTTATCTCTTATCTATTTGATTGTCATAAACCTCGTACCTATTATTAAAACTCAACATAATTTTCATGTCGTCGGGGTGACTTGATACCACATTGACTGTACATGATAGATGCCCTTCTTACAATAATTTTAGTTTCTGGGGAGGACTACAAAATAACTTCAATGAGTGGCCCAAACCATTTTAAATGGCCTACCAATCCAGATGTATGCTGTTATAACAAATGTGATATGAAAGAACCATTAAACCTCCATTACCCATTAACGCGAGGGGAATGTTTGCAGTCCCCGAGATGAAAAAATTGAGGCTGAAGGACAAAATCAATGAATAAATGTGTTTAAGAAGCCCTGTAAATAGTGTATATATAATGAACATTTTAATTAAGTTACTTTAAAGCTGACAGTTCTTGAATTTTAAAAAAAGAAACCTTTTTAAAATTTAAACCACTTTTTCAAGAAGTATAACTGCGGCGACATGTAAAATTTCAACATTTCACTAAGAAGAATAAAATGTAAAATAAGTAATTAAAATTTTGTTTGAACACACCACTCTTCTAGTTTATGTTAAGGTAAGTAATACTGTGTTTCGGTCCAATATTATTTTTTACAGATTTTTTTATAGTTTTACCAACAAACCCCGCGTTTTGGTGTATAATTTTATTAATAACTTCAGTAATAATTATGCTAAAAATATGTAAAAAATATCAAAAGATTCAGAACAAAAAGATGGACTCAAATCACCCCTTAAATAAGCCTAATATTGTATTACATTAAAATCACTTGCAATCATATAGGCTGGTATCAAGTGACCCCACTTGCAGGGGTGACTTGAACCAGCAATATTTATTTTTTTTCTTTTACTTGTAACCATGGTAAAAATATATTACTTTGTAAATAGTTAGTATACGCTAAGACTGTAATAAGTATATAAAAAATATTAGTTTTAATGTGCTTAGTTACAAACATACAATGGTGTAAACTTCAAAAGTGGTATCAAGTCACCCCGTTTTACGGTACCTATTTATTCCCATTAACATGACCATTGGAGCCTAGGGGCCTAACATAGGCCTATATGGTAAACGATCACAGATGTCACGTTAAAATAGTAGGTAGCCTATTTTTTACACTAGAATAGGCCTAGCTAAATGCTAAATTTTTTACTAGTGTTGCCAACTCAAACCGGCCTAGTTAAGTTAAGTTTACCTGTTATCTCCGCAATCAAGACTTGAGTATCCAAATATGACTGAGAATCCTAATTTAATATAACATTTCTGCAATCCTAGGGTTCTGTTTTTTAGCTGGGCTTTGCTAATATCGATTGAAACTAGGCCTACCTATCTTAAGTTATCGAATTAACAATTGAAGTTATCGATCAATAAGTTAATCTTAGCCTATTTTTAACAGGCTCTTTATTAAGTTAGCCTATAATCTGTTAGTTATAAAATGAAACTGTAACGAATGAACTGTAATGAAACCTAACCTAACTAACTAAACTTGCTGATGATGAAAAAATCTAGTCCTATATAGTTTCAATCGATTTCAGAATAACTTAAGCAGGCCCTAACCCAGTTGAAAAACTGTACCCCAATCCTAAGCAACGTTGCCAGTAACGTCAGGCCAGGAGAGATGGTTAGTCTCATGGTGGCAGAACCTTTCACTGAGTCGTTGACCCCGTGGATGATAGAACTCTAGCAGGAAATTTACACGGCGACTAGGTCAATGTGGGGCCTCTGACAAACTAGTGATGTGACGAGTCGAGTACTTTCCCTACTCGAATCAATTCGACTCGATACCACAACTACTCGAGTCGGTACTCGAGTACTGGACTCGATTCTTACCTGTATAGCACCGAAGCTCTGTTGACTCGTTCGTAGCTGCCGTGCGAATACTGGAAATGGAACTTGTTTGACTCGGACTCGAGTCCCTTTACTCGAGTCGGACAGACTTGGCTCGGACTCGTTTTATACTCTGTGTAGATTTAAGATGAGAGCGAGATAGGTTATTTATCTCACATTGAGTTGATAATTAATTATGGATTTTATTCGTCATTATAAAACTTAGATTAATAACAAACAGTGTCTTGACTCGAGTAAGCAAATTACTCGAGCGCTATGTACTCGTAGCGGATAGTTTTGAAACTATATCTTGAACATTCAGCAGTGTATTAATACGAACTGTCAGTGTCAAGCACACTAAGCGCTGTCGACTCGTAGTGGCAAAATCTGGAACAACATCCGAGTCTCGACTCGAGTAGTAGACATGCACCCAACCCAAGCGCTATGGACTCGTAGCGGCGGATCTAGTAAGCTTAGTTCACGAGTAATAGTACTCGAGTATCGCCGATTCGGTATCGAGTCGACTCGATACTTCATTGGACTCGATACTCAACGAGTCAAGTACTCGACTCGTCACATCACTATGACAAACATAGGAAACTTTCTCTAAAGGAAACCTTCGCCGGAAATTGAACCCCGTTTTCAGAAAACTTATAGAACCAAGAAACTTTGAGAATACGGGTGTCATACAAGTTACCAGACGAAACATCCGGCAATGGAGGCAGTGTGCCAACTGTGCAACAACTAACTTAAACCTGTGCCGTTGAGCGTTGAGCACGTACACACGGCACACTAGGCCTACAAAGATTGTTATGTAATCGAGTCTCCCCTTTTATTGATACTGACCCAGACAGGTTCGATGTTGTCCACAAAGTAGGTACTTCTTGAGGCTTGTTTTTATACTTAGGCTTAACTTTAGTTACCCACCCCATCCACTTTAAAAGCTGGTTTCAGAAATGACTTAAGTTATAAAGTGGATGACAAATGACTCCAGGACTTCCTTTCAACCAAAATGAAGGGGATGGTCATTCAAGATCACTGAAATTCCAGTTAAAAAGTTATTTTTCTAGCAATTAATGAGAATATGACACAATAATAATGTAGCCTAACTTTAGTGGGCTTATCTTGTAAGATAAGTGATGGCCGAAAAAACATAACCGTACTGTTAAATCTTAAGACATGACATACAACTAGCCTAGAACTATTAGACACTGTACTAATCTAGTCTTTGTTTCAGACCCCTTTGCTGATGCAATCAAGGGTTCTGAAGATGATGTTCAAGATGGTCTTGTTCACATAAGAATTCAACAGCGCAATGGTCGAAAGACCTTGACTACAGTGCAGGGGCTTTCTTCAGAATATGACCTGAAAAAAATTGTCCGAGCATGCAAAAAGGTAAGCTTGCTTTGCAAGTTTTTTTATAGTATCAGTAATTATTTACACTTGACCATTGAAACCTGCTATAGAACTTTACTAATTTATATTACCAGTAACTTGATTCTTAGAAGAAGATAATGAAGCAAAAATGTTTCCGCGCTCACAAATACCAACTGAACTACAGTTTTGTTTACTTTTTTTGTAATTCTACTGACTAGGCCTATTTGTCTAGTACCTATTTCTTCCAACGATCACATAAGACCAATAGTTGGAGCACGCATATCTAACTAGCATTCAAACAGCTGAAGTCTGGTCCGCCATCTTACTTTAGGATAGTAGCTCTAGATGCCGATGAAAACAGCTCCAAAACCCAATCTTCCGTTTCAAAATAACTTGACATTTAGCCTACATATTTAGACTAAAGGCAAATCGTTGAAACTTCATATGGGTAATTTCAATAAGTCTAGGACACTATTGGTTCTAATTAAAAGCCTAAGAGTTAATATTTTCTATTTTAATCTTCAAATAAAGTCGATACTTTTAAATGAGTTTTAAAATTTGACATGAAAAGGTCGGCCAGTTTTTTCTCCATAAAAAAAGGTAAAACTCTTGTCGTGACCGCAAAATTTGTGGGATATTTTGTTCTCTGTAAACTGAACTTTGTTGTAGTTCTCTAAATTTTCAATAGAATGTGCAGGACAGTTCATTTTTTGGACTAAAGTCTGTTTAAAAATTGAATATTATAAATGGGACATCTTGTGGTTATGGCGAAATAACATTGAGCGACAAGAGGTACCTTTTCTCAGACCGTGCAGAGGTTAACACAATGATTTATTTTGGCCATTTACATCTTCGATTTGATATTTTAACCAAAACTGTCCTGTTCTATGTTAACTTAAATGAGGTACAACAATCGATAAAATCCGAATTTTGATATTTTCAACCTTAATTAGGTACTTATATTGACTGTACTGAAAACTTTGCATCGCCGACAAGAGGTCCCTTTTCGCTTTCCATATTACAAATGTAGGATTAAGAAATTAAACTGTTCTAAACTAGGCCTAACATAGCAAAGCAACCAAACTTGCTACTATTACAAAATTCCATTTAATAACAGAAAAGGCAAGAGGGTAAAATAAGATTTGGAAATAGTAACTTAATACCTGTTTAACGATTTGTAGAAGTTTTTTACATCTTAAAAACATTAGGCTAAATCATTTCTACACTGATTACAGTTTTGTGATGTTTGTGTCGATGCTGATGTGTGACCCTTTATTATCTTGCAAACACTTAAATGTACTAATTTACTAGCCTATTAGAATAATTTAACTTATTTGTGTCCACATTTTAGTAGAACCTACTGAAAAAAACTTAACATGTTTCAATACCACCAAATAGAAACATTAAACAATGTTTGTACTCTTTTGCGGTAACGGTAAAGCAAAAGCTAGGACCTTACTAACATCTCAACATTAGGCTACACAATTTCAGTTAACATATTTACTCATATATAATTTTAAAAACAAGTAGGCACTTGCAGTCGATCCCAAGAGCCAACAGAGCCGTTTCTGGTCCAAAAAATTTGATATCTGAGTTAGTAGTATCATAATTGTTCAAGTTGCACTTGACACATTTTCTTAAACTACCTTACTCTTGTTTCAAACATAGGCCTAACTAGACTTGTACAAAAATTCTGGCTTCAAAGGGGTACCTGGCCACCCGTGTCACCCCTTGTGGACACACCTTTGATGCCTGGATTGGTTTGATGAGAATTGCAGCCAAACATTTATAGTTTTACAGTTATTCTACCAGGGATTCATTGTCTCTCATAGCTTAGGGCCTTCTGGCAGGGGAAGATTAAGACTGCCTACAAGATTTATTGTCCTCTTAAACTTATTTACATATATCAAATCTGAATTAATTGATTATTGAAGAAGCAGCCATACATGTTTAGCCTAATTATATTACAGTGTTTTTGTTTTCCTTTTTGTGTAGGTCTACTTAACTGGTGCTGAATTTTTCTTTTGTTTTCTACAAGTTTTTTTTTTTACTTGTTAAATGTGATTTGAGCACAATATTTCTAGGGTTTAATTTTTAGGTTCTAAAAACCCTTTAGATGTGCAGAATTAGGCTGTCAGAAAGCCATGCCAATTTGTGTATTTAATAATAATTTAAAAGGAATAAATTTAAGGATACTTGTAAATGTCACTTTTATTTAAGTCCCACAGAAGTAATCCTAAAAGTATTTTTTTTTGCCTGTAGGAGTTTGCTTGCAACGGGACTGTGATCGAGCACCCAGAATACGGTGAAGTGTTGCAGTTGCAGGGAGACCAGCGAGAGAACATTTGCCAGTGGCTCACCAAGACTGGACTCGCTAAATCAGACCAACTCAAAGTTCACGGTTTCTAAAGCAAAAATGCAGAGAAAATTCAATTTTTTACTAAATTCCTTACAATCCTTCAAGTAGACATTTAGAACAAATTTTCCGTAACGGATTAACTTGGTATAGAAATACATTTTTACAATCGTACTTTTTTATTTTCCTCTTTGTCTTTTTTATTGAAATCCCAACTATAACTGGAAGTTGAATTTCCACTATGTATCCGCTTTACTGGAGGTAGTATGTATTTGGATGCGATCGACATATTTAGAGAAAAGTCGTAAAAAGCTAAATAAGAATGCAGTCTTTAGGCACAAATGACAGAATCGGCAAAAAAGTAACCTGTTTCCATAGCGAATGGTATCCACTGTGCCTTTACGATGGGGCTTTGGTCCGTCGCTGTCACATGACGATATTTCACTACTCCATAGTTTGCTGTAACGTTCTCAGTACGTACATTAGATCTATCACAATTAATTGTGATGCATGACATTTATTTATTCCTGTATACCATGTCTGTGAATGAACAGTGTTGTATAAAATGCAAGTTGCTTTTTCAGTTGCATATTAATTCCAGTAAAAATGGTGTTAAACGCTAATGAGTGATTTTATTTTCCACCCTTGTCTCATGTTTGTACTTATCTCTGATTGGTCACCTAATGCATTACAGTACACTCCTCATAAACCGAGGTTGGAACCAAGGTACCAAAGTATATATGAATTTGACAAATGGTGTTTTTGGCCTCTGGGGACCTCAACAAGAAAAAGTAAATTAATCTCAGACCCAGGTAAGCTTCATATTCGTAATAGGTCCATGAGACTACGGTAATAGCTAAAAAGAAGGAAAATTCACTAAAAGGGACTTGGAAGAAAAATTAAACATGAAAGATTTAATTATCTACTTTTTTTACAGCCTCCAAATTAATTAAGAAACAAGTTTTTTTACAAATCTTTCAATACCAACACCATTGCCAAGCCACTAAAAGGAAGTTGTTGGGCAGTAAGATTAACTTCAGATTGGTCTACTACGACTAATTTAATCGGTAACCACTACAGTTCTGGTAAACTGAGGTCATTTTAGGCCTAAATGTGTTTTATTTTCTGCCAGAAAAATTACTTATTCTTATTAATTTATTAACATATTTTTCTTTACAAAGAAAAGCAAAAATAGCAAGTAGCCTAGTTTTTGATTTGTTAAATTTATAATGTACACTTAAAATAACCACAAGACATTATATTTACATAAGAATGATCTACAATAACCTAGGAAATGAAAATCACACAATACTAGGTCGGCCGCCAACTGCTTTGTAAACAATGCCAGTGTCAGTCTTTGTCAAGTTAAAGCTCAGGCCAAACTCAAAGAAAATTTAATTTTATGCTTCTTATAACTAACTTTAAAGATCCATCTTATTGTTTTTATTCAAATACTATTTATTGGTTTTGGATGTCTAATAAGACAGTGTTTAAAGTTGGTTGAAGAAGTGTTTTAAGCATGTTTGAGTTATTGTTTTCTTTAATAGCACTATCTAAGATAGTACAAGATTCTTGTGTACATATGTGTGTGTGTGTGTCCATTAGTGTGATAACTCGAGCTTTACTCATACAAGTTTGCGATCAGCATTGATTGGACTATGGGAACGGGGTTTTGTGGGGCATTTTCTTTCTAAACCGTTTGAGTATATAATACGTACATTTTTTCCGGTAGAATTGAACAAACTGAAATAAAACATATTGTAAGTAAAATATTTTATATAAATACAGTTTGATTTAATTTAATTATTGCTGTTTGATATTTATTTAAGTGCTGATGACCAGGTATGCCAGCCGCAACAGACGGTCTTAATGATCATTGTTGTATGTAGTGCTAAGAAAGTCATTGTACTAACTTATTTTGAAAAAAAATAGGACTTTTTCATTCATTCATAAATATTGTAATAGTTATATTACATTACTAGTAGTGATGGTCAAAACCAAAAATTTTGAATCTCAAAACCGAAACCCAAACTTTAAAAAATCGAACCCCGAATCTCAAAACCTAAACGCGAAAATTTTTTACTTAGCTGGTTACAAAGGTCAAGGTTACAAAAAAATACACATAATAATAAAATGTTAAGTATGCAATCAAAACTGAAAGAGATCGACTCCTGACCGTGGCATAACATAAATATGTGAATGTGACTGATAATCTTAAAACCCAATACAACATAATTTTTCATTAACAACAACAACAAAAAAAAAAATTAATTAAACTTCCAACACCAACATAAACATGAATATTAGATTAATTAGAACATTTAGTGGTCAATATTTCTTAGTGTTTAGTAAATATTGATGTGAAACTGAATTGTACTAGTTATAGTATTTAAGATACCTTTTGAAGTTCAGAATAAACTTCAACTTCAACTTGTTTCATTACTGTTAATGGTGATGTTTGCTCTTTTACTACCAGATTGTTTGGAAACAGCGTTGAAAACAATAACAATGGCACAAAAAAATTTCAGCAGTTTCAAAAATAAAACTGCCAAAATCTTTAATTTCAAAACTTTTGAATCTCAACTTGGTGATCGAATCTCGAAACCGAAACTTTTCCTAAGTTTTGATGGTTTTGAGATTCGGTTTTGACACATCACTAGTTACTAGTCCTCAAAAATAGCTGTTTATGGGACGAGTGTGGCCGTTCCTGTGCGAGACGAAGTCAAGTGTGGGATTACCATAGGAGTCCGGTAAACATGTTTTGGATGAGTGATATTTTACACCATACTCTAAGCTGATGGTGTACTATGGATATGTTTATCCTATTCTTAATTATGGAATCATTTTTTTTTTTTTTGGCAATTCTGACAAAAGGAAAAAGGTATTTAAATTTAAAAAACAAATCATTAGAATAATTTATTCTCTCGAAGCTAGAGATTCATGTGAAGATATATTTAAAATCAATAACATTCTTACTTTTCCTAGCCTGTACATCTATAATTTACTAATTTTTATGAAACAAAATCTCTCTAAATTTTCTGTTAGTTCAAACAATCACAATTATGACACCAGACACAAAGACTGCCTTTCATTTACCAAACAAATCTTCTACCTTTGAACTTTTGCCCCACTACTCTGGTATTAAATTGTATAATAACCTGCCTGATTCCATTAAGTCTGCACCTTCCCTCATGTCATTTTAAAAAAAACATTTATTTAAGTTGCTATGTAACATATGTTGCTATAAAGCTCAAAGATTTTTCGCTGACTTTTGTACAGCTTACATTTTATTTTTATTTTGGTATTCTTAATAATTGACACTATTCATGTATATTTTGTACAAAATGAATAAAGGATGATTTGATTTGATTTAACTGAACAATAACAAAATCCTTATACATACCCACTGACTAAAGGACTAACAATCACTACTCATAACCTCTAAGAGAGGTTATGTTTTTGTTTATAACCACTCATTGCCAAATATAATCAGCTGGTTGGTGTCCGGTGAAACTCATTTCAGTACAGTAGTACGTAATGAAACCCCATTTGATTAAGCTGGTGGCAAACAGCTGTTTTCAGGATTAAATCCTTGCGTGGGAAGTTCTGTAGTGTTGTGTAATAGTATATTTCATTACTAGGACCGAAAGTGGCACTTTCCGGCGCGCGCTCAAGTTTTTGTGTGAGGCGAAGCCGAACACAGGGAACACCAATTTCACGTGCGAGGCGAAGCCGAGTACGTGAGAGCTATTTTCACGTACGAGGCGAAGCCGAGGACGGGAATAATGGAGCAAGTGCCGGATAATAACTTTCGGGACGAGTTATGAACGATACTTTTCATCACGACGCAAAAATACACTAACACAGAATAGCAGACCTCATCAGTAATATTACAATAATTATCTATCAAACAATTTGTTTAAACATAAAAATATAATAAAATCTTCTAAAAGTAAACCTATGTTCATTTTTGTTTGATTTTTAAAACATAAAATAAAATAAAATATTCTAAAGGAAACCTTCGTATATTTCTCAATACTTCAAACAAAAAAAAAAAGATTAAAACTACTTTGAACAATACATACAGCTGATTTGAATCATTAAATTAAACCGTAACAAAACACTAGCGCGCGTAGTGAATAAATGGAAAACTAATTGAGAGCGAGGGAAAGTAAATTTAGAGCGAGGGAAAATCAGCTGATCGATTTTCCCTTGCCCTAAATTAGAGCTTAGGAAACGGCTACTTTCATTGATGTCAGCTGTTATCGAAAATAGTTACTTTCGGTGAGGAGTGATGAAAATACATTTCCAAGGCAGTTAAAATAAACTCCTTAAGAACCAAGAGATTTTTTAAAATTTTATTACTACAAATAAAATTATGAACATGAATAAGTAACTAAAACAAGGCTATTGATTTAAAAAAGTATACATGTATATATTAAATAATAAAGAAATAAATACTCTGAATATCAATATAAAATTAATTTATCACCATGAAACAATTAGAAACATTTATGGTCAGTACAATTGAAAACAAATATAAAATCAACAAATAATAATAATGTTAGACATACACAATTATTGTACCTATTGCATATTGAAATAACTATGAGATTAGACTAAAACTATTTAAACAGTATGAAATTATCGTCATATCAACATTTCTTCTTCAACAATTTACATTTAATCCTCTAGTAGCCTAGTATAAATATTTATATGTATTTACACACATAATTAACCATAGTAAAGACTACATAAAATTATAGTAAAAATTAAAAATAAATATAGGCGACCCTTTTATGACCGAAAACAAATTTCATAGCAGTTACAAAATTGCATAATCTAAACAAATTAACTAACCATAATTTTCAAAGAAAAACCATCACTTGCCCTACATAACATTTTAAGTAGCCGAAAATATCGTAAAAGATATCCTATACCTTAAATAATACTACCTGTTTCATGCAACATTTTTGACTAAGGATTCCTCTTGAAAGACTATATATAACCATGGTCTATAAAAGGGTGAGTAAAATTTATTACGATAATAATACACTGAGAATAAAAATTAATGTTATCACAAAATCAACCGAGTGAAGTGATGCGAGTTCAGTTGAACAGCACGGTACTGGGGTCCTCGTTGTCTATTTGCTTGATGTACCGCAACACATCTTTCTTGGTGATCACACCCAACAAGCGACTGAAACACACCATGTAACATATCCAATGAATCCATAAAAACAGTTCTTTAGAACATTTGTAACAATACATACATTGAAAATACTAATCCACCCTTTGCCATGATCTTGGCGTACAGGGCAGGATCGATGGGTTTTAATACTTATAGATGATATTAGTTAAATTTCATAGGTTATTGTAAAAGCCAACCAATCAATAAATATGTTTGTAAAAGGTAGCAAACAAAATGGACACTAAATAAAGGTTAATGCCTAAGGAGCATATACAATAGTTATTTTTCGCTGCACATGACAGAAATGTTAATGGTAGAGCCGCAGGCGTGTGTGGGAAGCTTCTCGAGTGTGTCACGTTACACATATTTTTCCTATAGTTACTATAAGGCTTATAAATAATTAGTCTTTCAAACACTAAACATCAAGTTTTT